TAGAATGCCGCCGTGAGGCGACAGCCAATGTGACCGCAGCAGCGCCGGCGGCTGTTGGGAGAGACGACCTCGAGGAGGCGCGGGACAACCCCGAGGTCGGTCTTGGGGCAGGCGACCAATCGGCGCCGGGCGAGAGTCACGGCCAGCCCGGTCATGCGGATTCGGTCGAACGAGTTGCGCTGGCAATGGCGACCGTGACGGAAGCGCTCGTAGCTAGCAGGGCGCAGGTGAGTGAGGTTGGTGGGCCGCCGGACGGCGGTGATTCGCCCGTCGCCAGGGCCGACGAGACGAGCGGACCCGGCCTGGTGGATGCGGCCTTTGAGATGCGCCGTAAAAAGGGGGAAAAACGAGTGCGCATCCTCTCGGACGCTACCCTCGAGATCTTGCCCTCGCCGATGGACAGTTGCGAAGTGGATGTTGAGTTTCAAATGGAGGCGGAAGAAGACGAAGAAGACTTCATCATCACCGAGGAGGGCGGCAGACGACCGAGGAAGGGCTGTCACATTCTGTTGAAGCCAATCGTGTCGGTTGTCGGCGCGGACGGCGGCGCGGCGGGGACGGCCGAGGAGAAGAGGAACGGCGTTCGAATCGAGGAGGCGAGTCTGGAGAAACGTCTGCTCGACTCCGGCGAGAAGGAGCACTCGGACCTGCAAGCGGCGTCTCGAGGCGACGAACATCTGCCGGACGACGAGGTGGCGAAGCAGAAACAAAAGCGGCAGGAGGGAGGAGAGGGGGACGCCGGTGGCGACAGGTATGAGCCGAGGCCGAGGCCACAACCGGCGCCGAACTTGAACACGCCGTCTGTGGTGCAGGCGAAGACGAGCTCGCTGAATCGGCATCTCGGCGACCTCCTGCAACGACCACCGCGACCCCCACCGCCCCGTCTCGGCCAGCTCGGACGGACCAACACTCTGCCGGCCAGTTACCGGACGCCCATCGGCATCACGCTTCGCGAAGTGCCCATCGACACGCGAGTTCACTTCCGCCCACCAGTCGCCGTGACCCAAGCCCCCAATAGTCAGTTGCCATGGTCACGGAGAACTCGCGTTTCCGCCGGCGCGGCTGCCGAGGCGCCTGACGCCAGGTCGTCAGGTCACTTGACCTCCAACATTCGCGATGCCTTTCGCAGCCTGCGGCGCAGTCTGAAAAAGAGAGTGACCAGCGGGACGGGAAAGCGCGATGAACGCCAGTCACGCATCGCACAACAGCAGAGCGAAGATGGCACTCGATCACCGCGGATAGTCTCCAGCTCTCGAGTGCTCCAGGCACCGGCCGAGCCGGAGATGGCTCCAGCCTCGTCTCCGCCCCCGGACCCGGTAAGCCGATGCCGCATGTGACTGTGAGAGGATTGGTAGGCCGGCCGACCCGGAAGCCAGACTCTTTCGTGATGAGCCCCCCGAAGAGTTCTCGTTAGTCTCGCTAGCATAAGGGGACTAAGGACTGCTAGTTGAATTTTCTTTCCACCGCCTACGCGATTCGAGTCCCTCTGGAGGTGCTGTTGAGAGACTATGACTCGAGGTCGAATCCGCAATACAGCCCAGTCTGCATAAAACTGCCATTAGAATGCTGAGGTATATTCTGGTAATTGCGAGGAAACTCAACTTTTAGCCAAGAACTACTGAAAACTACTTATATCGAGATAAGTAACTTCATTTATTTTGCAATAACAAACAGATCTTGCCTTAGTCGACAATAACACTAAAAAATGTGGTTTGGCTGAGGTTTGGTTTGCCTTGAATGGCACATCTGTCCTCCGACCCAATGGCACGCATGGATGGGTCGCCAGGATACTTACGACGCGATGTCGAATCCCGTTGGAGGCGCTTATGGGAGAAAATAAGGCGGTCCAGTCCAGCCGGAGTGAGATGGCTGTTTTGGAGGCAAGGATAAGTGAAATTTAACGAAATTCTGTTGCTCGTTCATCTGATTTTGGGAAGATTAACGTCTAGTCAAGGACTACTGAAGACTACTTATATCGAAATGAGTAACTTCACCTATTTTGCGATTCCGTTGAAGAAGAAACGGTGAGGTGACGCCAAAACTTCAGTCCAGTCCAAAACACCTTTGGAAGAGGATTTGAGAAATTTAATGAC